TTCAACTCATCAGGTATGTGTAGTATTCAGTCTTCGAGAGGTTTTTCATCAACCAGTTGTAGCAGAGGTAGTGGACACGTTGAGAGGCCACTTGAACCCACTAAAATGCATAAAAAGAGGGCTAGACCTGGTGAAAGTTGCCGACCTAGGCCCAGGGATAGACAATTGATCCAAGATCGCATCAAGGAGCTCCGTGAGCTGGTTCCAAATGGTTCTAAGGTAACCTAACAGCCTATATTTCTTTAATTCTGAAGTTGCTTAATATTTTAATCAGATGTTCTGAAACTCTGGGATGATACCACAGTGCAGTATAGACTCACTTCTAGAACGAACAATCAAACACATGGTCTTCATGCAAAGTATTACCAAGCATGCTGACAAGCTAAAGAAATGCTCTGCATCAAAGGTGAGCTTCTCTTACTGGGTTAGTGATTTATTTTTCGATTGACATAGTTTTAATTGTTCATGCCAAGTCAAAGCCTGGTAATTGACAATGATGCCCAAACATACCTCCCTTCCCTTGAAAAAACAAAAGGGGAAAATTGGGGAGGGTAGTGTGTACGCAGACCTTACCCCTACCCTGGGGTAGAGAGGCTGTTTCCGATAGTCCCTCGGCTCCCTCCTTCCAAGAACTCCCCACCTTGCTCTTGGGGTGACTCGAACTCACAACCTCTTGGTTGGAAGTGGAGGGTGCTTGCCACCGGAGCAACCCCACTCTTGTCAAGGTGAAAATTGAAAACGGGATCATTTATCCTTGGTAATTGACATTTTTTTTTCTAAATCGAAAATTTCTGACATTTTATATAGGGGGATGGGATGGGTGGAGCATATATTGTTACAGTTGTATGGTCTTTCTTTAAATGGGGGTCATTTGACTCTGTAAGCTTGCCTTCTCATTTCTTTTATTACTATTTTCTACTTGACCTCACCCGGTGGCATAATTCCTCTAGAAATAATTTGCAGAGAAAAACAGTGCTCTTGCGATGACTTCTGAAAGTGCATCCCTGTGAGAGACCCAAATTATTGGATGAGACTTGCTTTAATGCGTTTCTTATTTTAAGCGTTGCACAGCTCTATTGTGTCCATAATTGGCTGAGCAAAATAGCTAGCTTTATTTCTTCGGTTTATTAATTCTTTTCACTAATTTAGTTTTTGTTGAACATGTTACAGCTGGTTGACAAGGAATTGGGTATCTCCGGGTCTTCCTCCCTTGAGCATGGTTCAAGCTGGGCGATGGAAGTTGGAAGTAACCTAAAAGTTTGTCCTATGAGGGTTGAAAACTTAAGCATGAATGGTCAAATACTTGTAGAAGTAAGGATGGTTGGATTTTAATTTTTGTTAGACTATTTGGTGAAACAGTAAGGGATGAAACATTTATCCTTACGTGAGACCAATGCAGATCTTTGAAGACGGCAGCCATTTCCTTGACATAGCAGAAGCCATCCGGAGCTTGAATCTTACTATTTTAAAAGGTGTGGCAGAGGCCTGTGGTGAGAGGACACGTATGTGTTTCGTGGTTGAGGTACAATCCTGACTATTATAAAATGTTTTCTTGACCTTAAGTAGATCCCACTGATTAGTGAATCTTGGTACACAGCAAGATGTTTTATCAACTAATGGTGTATCCACTATCTACTTCTTGTGTGATATCCTTATGTTTCTTTGTCAAGATCTCTTAATAGAAAATCTACATATTTTCTTGTGAACATTTGATATTTACAAGTTTTCGGTGATAATTTCATCTATTTTAGATGATTTTTTCTATTTCTTTTTCTTGCTCTATGTTTCCTAAATATTTCCATTATCTTTTGACATTAATGTTTACATTTATGATTTTAGGGAGCACCAAATATTTCCTAAACAATCTTTTAATAAGCATATGTAGAAAATATGACTGTTTATACAATATCCTAATAAAAAAAAACATTTATACAATAAACGAAGGAGATTCCAAATTAAAAGAAGATTAGAAGATAAATTTTTCGCCAAAATCATGGAACCAACCAAAAGAGGTATAGAAAATGAAAAAAACCAGAACACTATAATACCATTCAAGTAGTTACAGATTTTTGAGAAGGAAAAGACAATATCAAGTAGTTATAGATTATATGCTGTAAATTGTATAACATTGCTCTGTTATGAGCTTGAGTTTAATTCAAATTTAAAGGCTTGATAAAAAAAAATGCTTCAGATTTTGATTGCATTTAGTCATTACAAATTACAGTGTTATGGTAGAGGATGCCAATAGACTTCTTGCAGAATCAAGAATTAGCATAGTTCTTTAGATGTTCCTTTCTCTTATTCCCTTTGGTTCCATCTGATTTTAACTTATTGATTAATTCATTTTTGATTTTGCACGACACTTATTCAATACATGTTATTACCTTTTTCTCAGGGGCAGAATGATAGAACCTTGCACCGCATGGATGTATTATGGTCGCTTATGCAGAAACTGCAAGCAAAGATCAACATGTAGAGCTGGAAAGTCGGGAAGAAACTTTTACTAATCAGATCGAAGTCAGTTTCAGTTCTATCTGTGGCATCTTCAGAGTATATGCAGGGTTTTAAGGTATTGATCATCAGTCAGGATACTGATGTTTCAAAGGTTTTCTGTGCAATATCAGATTTCCCTTCTAGACAAGTGCTCGTGCTCATTTCATTTTTTTCTGCAGTGTGAAGATAGATTCTTTGTTTCTTGTTTGTTCCATCGCTAAGTGTATCTATTTTCTTGTGTTTTATGTGTAATGCTCCCCTACGAAAAGCGTTATGCTCTTGAAATCCTCCACGTCCAACCAATAGATTTGAGGTTCGAGAGGGTAATGCATTTCAAAGTTGGAGGGGGGTCAGTGGTAAATCACTATTGTTCCCTCTAGAGGATGGAGAGTGTAAACAGAAAGGGTTATGCTCTTCATCACATAACCTTTTTTTAGAGTGTGCTTGTATTCAGAATTTTAGCTTGTACATCATTGAGATTTTGGCCTTCAACATGAGGTGACTTATTAGTTACTTATCAGATGCTTTGGTGATAATGCATTTCAAAGTTTTCTTTTGGGTGAGTATAATGTTATGTCCTCTGCATTTTGAAAATAAACGTTTGTCTAAATGGTGGGATGAACTACAACTTATTACTATTGGAATAATGGTTTGTTTTCCTTTTCTCCATTCATTGTGAATCTGTTCTTCGATTTTTTAGGTGACCTCAACCATATTCCAACAGGGTTTTGGAGAACTTCGACTTCTTCCTGTACCAAAAACTAGAATAGTAATTCGTGCACTGTTACAGAAGACATAAGGGGCAGTAGCGGAGCCAGCATTTTTGTTAAGGAGTGTCAAAATATATAAAAGTAAACATACCAGAAAATTAAGGGGAGTCAATACATAGTCTATATATATAAAATTTATTTTTTTACTTAGCTACACAGTGTATTTTTTTCCGCGAAGGGGTGTCACCTATAAGGTGGCTCTGCCACTGTAAGGGGGAATAGACGACGAACGGAAAGCGGGGAAACATCCTTTTTCTGTCTTCTCTCCACATAGGGAAGGAAAGAGGCCTCGCTCGGTTAGACCTTTCTTTCTTGGTTATCTGATAAGCACGAAAATGAAAGCTTTTATAAATAAAGATACACCCAATACGTGAAACTCATTGTCCATGGATAAAGAAAAACCGTTTCAATATCCAAAACAACAAAAATTAGAGCAAACATATAATACGGATTCGAAATTGTAACCAAGCATCGCCCATTGGTTCTATACCCGGCTCATAAGTAGAAAGTTTCTCCAGCCCTTTTACATGCGAGTTAGCTTCCGAGGTTGTGCAGTCTCAATTTCATTACAGGATTTGCGAATGAATGCTGGGCTGGGCCACTTCGAATGGCGTGAGCCGCATGCGGGGAGACCCACACGTATGGTTTATAGGGGGATTTGGTCGAAAAACCGACTGACGCCCACCCGACTAGAGGGACTGAGAAATTAATTGAGTACAAAATGCCTAAAATATAAGGTTCAATCATATACACTAATTTATAAGAACATCATCAAATCGAATTATCTAATTCGAAAAGATTACAACTTAGTAGAGTTTGATACCAAGAAATAATTGGGCAATTTGTCTCGTCGAATATAATGTAAGTGAAATGACTTACTGGTTGCAATTTATACTCGGCATAACTTACAACCTACATTCATAGTATTTAATTTGGTTTGACATTTCAAGAAAATTGGAAAAGAAATGCAGACCCCTCAATCTCACTCAATTTTTCTCTTTGTTACTAAACAAAGCAGAGTAGTCTAACATAGCCAAAATCCTTGGGGCTTCTTGCTACGCTACTTAACTATTTAAATTCATTTCACCTAATACGTAATAGATTAATATAAAAGATAGATCTATCTATCTAAGTTGCTATCATCGTACATTTGTATTATAAAAAATGATTATTTGATTGTCAGCGTTTGAAAGGAGTACTAATTCAGAAGTGACACGATTTTGCTTAGACACGATGATTTAATCAATTGTATCGAGCGAAGCTATTGAGATCNATATATATATATATATATATATATATTAAATTTTACAGCGGTTATTTGGGATAATTTTCTTAAGCTATTTTCTCTTGACAAAATGAGATCGGGCTAGTGGGCCTATTTAGCCCAATATTTGAACGTTGATGGATTTGATTCGGGCCCGCAACTTAGGTACTGACCATATCGTCCTCACTAACTAGTCGTAATTTCTTAGTACCATTTTTGATACTTTAACCGTCTAGACGGAATACGCTGCCGCACCGCCGCATAGGAGCTCCATCGGCCACCGCCTTTTGACAAACCCGCTATGTTCCAAATTTTAGGTTTCATATGCATGAAGGTGTATATGTTCGTGTATAAAAAATGATGGCTTATAAATCCACGAAGCGTTTATTTAATAACACAGGTTCTGAAGTTTTTTCTTCGGCAATTTTTTTCTTTTTGAGTGAAAAATATTTATTAGTAATGATTTATAATGATATTAGCAAATTGGATAGTGATGAAACTTTGAGACTGAATATTAAAGATTTATAATAATTCCATGTGTTAGTTGGAGCTAGTAATAGGAATTTAAGAGTTGAGATAATTGTAAAGAAAAATATTTGTTGTCAGCAGCATAGTTTTGTCATTCCAGGATAGAGTGTTAATCAATTTAGACAATCTAACTAGTTTGAGATTGAGGTGTATCAGATCTCATTGTAGAGTATCATCCATTTTTGTTTAATAGAGTAGAATTGATGTAAAATTTTCATATAGTGGAACGACCTTTACTAATTTGGAACCAGTGTGTAGTTGATTGATTGATAAAGTATTTGCCCGTTCTTGTATGAGGGGTACTGAAGGGGAGCCTTGGAGCACGGTAAAGTTGTTTTAGTGTGACCTGGAGGTCACAGGTTCAAGCCGTGGAATGTGAAGCTTGCGTCAGGGTAGACTGCCTACATCACACTCCCTAGGCTGCCTACATCACACTCCCTAGGCTGCCTACGTCACACTCCCTGGGGTGCTCCCTGAACCCTGTGTGAACCGGGATGTTTCATGCACCCAACTACCCTTTCTTGTATGACGGGTATTCTATTTTTGAAACATTGATCTGAATCGGGAGTACCTGATGGGGAAAGTGGATTCATAGAAAGCAGATATGGTTTGTGTGCGTGCTAGATAAATAGACTACTGAAATTATAATGTTTTTACTTGTTAATATGGTACCTAATTTTAATTCTAATCTGGCAGATTTGAGGATTATTATCTCAAGGAAACAGGAGTTCTGTCAGAAGTTTGTGTACAATATTCTTAGCCGGTGTCAGTCACATTGGTCCAATTCTGATAAGGCGTCCTATAATGGCTTCAAAGAGGGGAAGGAAAACTATCAAGTGACAGAGAAACCTGAAGAAAATAGCATAGGCCACGGTCCTCGGCAAAGTAGTTTCAACGTTGTCAATGATGATTTAAATAGTAATAAGTGGAAGTTAGAACTTGCTTGGCTCTCTAAAGCTCTTGAACCTGCTGTTCAACTATGTAGATCGGTTCTGCCAACAGGTATTTTTCTCTATGAATGCTCCAGTATTTTGGAACCTTCAGGAGTTTGATACTGGTTATCTTGTAGAAGGGTGACTCAATAAGCACATTGCTCTTGGCATGTCAAATGAGCATTAGACTGTACCTCAGTTTATTTGTGGCTGCCCATGTTTTAGTTTTGACTTTATACTCCTTAGTTTTCACTTTTAATTTGACTTCTAAGTCCTAACTGCTAAATATAATATTCTTTAATATTATCAGACATTTTAAAGATTGGGGTGATAATTGGATTTGTACAATTGAAATAGCTGGCTTCAAATACATGGCGTGGATCTACTAGTCACAATGTCTTGAAATTTAAATCTTATTTAAAGGTTTAGAAAATCATTTAAAGAGTTACCCATTCTTCAGTATATTGGTGATTTGGAGAGGAAAAGTAAAGGAAAATGATTTTTAAGTTGTTACAATTAATTTGTTATTCCATCAAAGGACTTTAAAGGTTCAGGATTAATTGAAGACTTAGGAAATTCAAAATCAATCTCAGGTTTGGGGAGTCGATCCTTTTATATCCTACCAAAATTAGCTCTGGTTAGTGGCTACAGTTGCTGATTCTGTAAAAGGGTTTTAAGTCTTTATAATCAACTTGTTATTCCACGAAAAGACATTAAAAGGTCAGGATAAATTTTGACTCCTGGGAAATTTAAAATCAATCTCAGGTTTGGGAGTCAATCCTTTTGTGTCCTACCAAAAGTTGATTCTGTATTTCCTTTGCAGGAAATGTAATCGGAGACAAACTTCCACCAACTAATAGGTCTCTTGCAGAGATATTTGCCAGCATTCAACGTAGTAAATTGGGACTCCAGGATTGGAGTCTAAGTGATCTTACCATAGGCTTATATCTCATATATCTCCAGCAGGCATCAACCAGTGCTGTTGAAGATGTTAAGGGTGAAGAAATATCATCTGAGCTGATAGTAATCACTAATTACCAGAACCTTTGTGTAGTAAAAGTGTTTGGTATTCTGTCTAGTTTTGCCTTTGTTAATGTCAATTTTCCTGTCTGTCGTCAATTTAAAACTCTAATGAAGATGAGCCTTTTTGGTTAGGTACAAGATCTCATCTACCACCTCGAGCTGGCTAAGGGATCTTATAAAGCCAACCCTGCTGCTATTGCTAGGAATACTATGCTTCGAGAAAGCAATGTTTTCAAATTCATAAAAAGTTCCGATGTGTTGAGGCCTGGATATTATATGGGAATTGACCATCGGAAGAAACTTGTGATTCTTGTAATTCGTGGAACTCATACTGTGTATGATCTTATAACTGACATTATTTCTTCAAGTGATGAAGAAATCACATTTGAGGGTTACTCTACACACTTTGGAACAGCTGAGGCCGCTCGTTGGTTCCTTAATTACGAGCTGGACACCATAAGAAACTGCCTGAAGAAACACAAGGTGGGCCTCTTATCATTTTACAGTTTGTTTTCCTAGAAAGTTTCGGGTTTAGTTTCCACGTGTATATAAATATAAAATATTCCCATTCAGTGACTTATTCATATATAGGGATTTAGGTTAAGGCTGGTGGGCCATTCCCTTGGAGGTGCAACAGCTTCATTGCTTGCTATAATGCTTCGTCAAAGGTCATTCCAAGAGCTTGGGTTTAGCCCTGATATTGTATCAGCCATCGGATATGGTACTCCCCCATGTGTTTCTAAAGAACTTGCTGAAAATTGCTCTGAATATGTCACAACGGCAATTATGCAGGTCGGTAATCGATAACTCTGTTGGTTTTTGGATAAAGATATTTTCATAAGGGAGTCCTTTTGTCTTTTTGTTTTCTTGAGCCGAGGGTCTTTCGGAAACAACCTCTCTACTCCTTCGGGGTAGGGGTAAGGTCTGCGTACACACTACCCTCCCCACACCCCATTAGTGGGATTTTACTGGGTTGTTGTTGTTGTATATTTTCATAAGGGATAAGGTTCAAAATTTCCCCTTAACTAGACGAAATGGTCTAGATATGCCCTCCATAATAGTTGGGGTCAATGATGTCCTTGCCGTTATGGCTTATAGTTTAACCTTTTTTGCAAACGGCCCTTCCTTAGAAACTAATTAGAATTTAGCGATTGATTAATCTCATTAAAATAGGAGAAGGAACACATGGCTAAAAAATAAAACCATCTTCTTCCATTTTTCTAGCACTACCTTTGTCAAGTGACGCTGGCAGTCAGCAGAAATCACCATCGTCATTTTCCATCTCTCCATTACCACTTTAAAAAAGCTCCAACCATTCACCTTTTTGAACCATTCTCTGCATTTTTGCGTCGGCTTTCTCCTCCCAAAAAAGCACTAAATTTAACCACCACTGCATTGCAATAAACCACACCCAACCGCTGTCCTCCATTAAAAATCACCGTGCTTCTACAACCACCTAACCAGCCCCCCATTAGCTACTCTGAAACTTGCAGCAACCACCTTCCGACACCCAAGCCCTCATCCCTTCATCACTCCACCCAAACACTTCAATGAGTCACCATCAGTTGATGGGTCACCTCCAATTTCACATTTGGCATTTTTCAAGCTAAGCGTTTCTCCATGTGGGTTAAATTGAGGGTCTGAAATTGATTCTTTATCACTAGTTTTGCTGTTCTTCTTCCAATTATCAAGAAGACAAGAGCCGCGTCATTGAATCTAGACTGAAGTACCTGAACACGCCCCTGTGACATCCTCGCTATTTGTAGCCGTGAAGCGCGCACTGGATTGCCCCTCTGTTTTGGCATAGATTTTGACTAAGCCTCACCTGCAATGGGCAACCTCTATGCACCACGTGACACTGCAGCTCTTCGTTACCTTCGACGGCTAAAATTCTCTGAATACCATATCTATTCAAAAGAATTATACTGGTGGCAACATCACCAAGCCGATGCAGAGGTTAGGCATTACCATTTTCAAGCTCAGTACCGTGTCAAACTCGGCATTACCATTTTGAAGTTCTTCTGTATAATCATCTCCAACGACGACTGCCCCAAAGTCCAAATTTCAGCAGTCAATTCTGTCCAAAAAATCTGAATTCCTTTATTAGAAACCATAACTTGACTGAAAATCCAGCAAGTTACCATCTTCTCTATCCCACCTTCAAGAAAACGATCTTATATTAAAATGTAAGAAATAATTTTAGAAACATTTTCTTTTTGCAAAATTGAAGTGGAAGTATATACACATACATTACATAAATACATATAGGACAGGTTGTGCATATAGGCTTCAAGTTAGAGAGGGAAGGGAATAAGGATGACCGGCATGGGGGTTGGGTGAGGGGGTTGCTGAAAAGGGGGGAAATGGGGTAAGGGATCCGGTAAGAGGTGGGGTGTTAAAAAGGTTGGATTAAAATAACACATGTGGCAATTGATAGTGCTAATTAGTCGGATTAGAGATAATTAGTTTCTAATTATTTCCCATTAGTCAATAAGGGTAAATATTAACCACTTTGTTAACGGCAAGACATTATTGACCCCAACTATTAACTGAGGGGATATCTAGACCATTTCGTATCATTCAGGGGCACATTTTGACCCTTCTCCTTTTTCATAATAAATGTGACTATGGAGCAGAATCTGTAGAACCTATTGTTAACATTTGATTGATTCTTTTCATGTTTTACAAATGTAGGGTGATATAATTCCAAGGCTTAGTGTCACCTCTCTCACGAGACTTAGGAATGAAATTCTTCAAACTAACTGGTAAGCAAATGTATCGTTAATTGGTCCTAGGATCTTCTTAATCATTGCTTTGAAGATACATGAAGCTGCATCTTTAGGCCTCCGTTTGCATATTGCTGTGCTTCTTGCTTATCGTGCATTTTCTTTTCTATTTTTGTTCTCCTGCTTGTATAGAGATGGGTTGTCTCTTTCCTTTAGCGACTTTCTGTCAATTGTTAAAGCAAGGACCAACTATTTTCTTTGTACAATTCCTGACTCATACAGTGACTGGTTTTTCAAGTGAATGATATAAAGACTACATCTACGACATTAGTGACAACATCTACAAAACTAACCAAGTTGTCTTTTTCCTTTTCTTTTTCCCTTACGAAATTGCTGTTCATAAAAATTTAGATGGAATATCTATAGTTTCATTCTACCATTCCTGATGCCTGGACTCTACTTTTTTTTTTTTGGTAAAGTAAGCTATGATGCCTGGGTTATACTAGATCTCCAGCTTGAATGAGTCAGTCAATTTTGTAGGCTGTCACTGGCAAAAGTAGCTGGTTGATACTTACATGAAATACCCAAATGATGAAATATTCTATAGTTTCCTGCTAAGTGCTCAGTTCTTTACAACTCAAAAAGCCAACTCTATGTCGTTTAGTCTGATTTGGTTAACTGGGCCAAGGATGGCCATGTCCGCGAAAAGTTCATGGCTATATCAGGGCTTCTCTGCCTTATTGGTGTAAAGCTTTGTATTTTTGCGTCATAGTTTAGGATCCGCATAGACTACTTACTATTAGGCATATCTTTAAGCATCCAAGGTGTAAAGATATGATCAGTGAAGTTAGTGACACATGCTATGATCCATATCCAAACAAGATCTTGATGGGTCCCCGCTCCAGCACGATTTCTCTCCCCTTTTCCTGGTCGAGCTATTGCTCCGTCTGGATATAGATAACATAGTCCATCTCCCCATACTTTAGTCATCTCTTTCTCTCTCTCTCCAACTTTCAAAACTCCTACTGGCAAAACTACGAAGTCAAGAAGAATTGATGTGCCTGACCTTGTTTTCACTGCTTTCACTAGAAAAAACTACAATTATAAGAAACGCATGTTCATTTTCGAGTTAATAAGAGCTATTATTGGGATGGAGATGAACTTATACAGGTGTTTCTAGTTGACTTTTGGAGCACCCACTAGGTTTCTGTTAGTATAATAATGGATTGGATATCATTCTTAGAGAACCATGTTGTGTAGGTTCTCTACTTTTTTTGTATAGAACTGCTTATATATGAGCTGGTTTCCTACAACAATAAATTCGTTCCTTTATCAAAAATATATGGTCAGTTGGTCACTATTTTGATAAGTTCAAAAGCTAATAAGGTTATTAGCTTATATTAGCTCACATTCTAGTAAAGAGAAACAGTCCATGTAAGAGAAGAGGTAAAATTTGCTGGGACGAAAGAAAAAGGAAATTGGGTTACTTATCGTGACTATTGGAGTAAAGGGAACCTAGTTCATTCATGCTTTTATGTTTATAGGATTTTTAATTGCTAATTTGGCTATTTGTCGCATTAAGGCATCCTTTAGACATTGTTTACACTAAATAGATGAGAGAGCTTAGAGCTCTGGGCTATGGTTTAATAGTAAGCATGCAACGCCTGAACTGTGGTTAGGCGCATGTCACAAGTTTGAACCCTACCACTGGCTGAAACTTGGTGTTTAAGTGGGATCAGGGTAGAGGGGCGGGCCAATATTCTCCTGAGTTCCAAACCTGTGAGCACAATTGGGATTGAGCTAGCTAACGCACAGGGGATTTCTCAGTTATATGTCTATGCCCTAATTTAAAAGATTAAGTTGCAAGAAAGAGGACATTTCTATTTATTTGTTTTAGGTCTTCGACATTTCTCTCACATGCTGGACTTAAATATTTTTCCTGGTCCAAGCACGTCAACCATATTTGTTGACGGGTGACGCTGAGACTTGAACCCAAGACTTTTATCCACTTTGATACCATGTTGAATTGTTTGAACTAACTGATCTGAAAATTCAAGTTATCAGAGGAGATGTTTTTATTTGTTTATTTTAGGTTTTCAACATTTAAAAGTAATTTATGCTTTTTTTTAATGTTAAGTTTTCAACACTAAAATTTATGTCAATGCATTAGTGCCTTATCTTTTGGAGGTGTGGGGGGCTAGAGGAGAAAGGTGTGGGCCATTTGCATGTAGTAGTCTATTTCCTCTTTTCCCTCTCTTTTCTCTCTTTTTACAAGCTCAGATTTGCTAAAAGGATTTGTAATATCCACTCTGGAGCTTTTACCTTTATTATTTTAGATATTTGTTGACCCATGGTGACTTGAATTCATCTAAGTCAACTGGGACTTTAATTTACAGAATATTGGTTTTAGTTAAAGGGAAAGAAGGAAACACAAAATATAGTTATTTGGCATAAGAAAATTAATTATACAAAGTCAAATTAAGGGTAAGGGGTAGCTCTACTGGTTTCTTTTAGCAAGGAGGTTGCAAACCTATTTTAGCAACACAAGGAAGGGTAATCCATAAGTTCTTCTACACGCAGGGGGATAATGGGACTTTATCTCTTAAACAAGAATAAAAAGCACTACTTTGAGGAGACAGTTACGATGGTCGTACGTCAGAATCTTAAGTTTTATTTCTTTTTCTTTTCCTCTTTCCTTATTTCCATCTTGTACTACCTTAGGGTTTGGGTGGTTTCGTTGTTGGCAGTTGAGGGAGGCGGGTGGAAGGTCTATAATGATAAGATCCATGCTAATCTTTGTCTTTCCTGTTATTTATTGGACAGGGTGAGTGTTCTCCAGAAGGAAGACTGGAGAGGTGTCATAGATTTGTTCACAAATGCGAAGCAGGTTGTGTCTTCTGTGCAAGATGTTGCTTGGAAACTTGCTGATTATACTAAATTGCCAGGCAATGCAAAGTACTCTGGTATGGGAGAGACTTCGATTGATCAAATGTTCTGTAACATTTGCATTTTTCGTTTTCATTTATTTACTTTTCTGGGTCTGGAATAAAAGTGTGTGTGTGGGGGGTTGAAGTGTTGTGTCTGTTTTCAATTATGTTACTTACATATCCTTTCAATTCTCCTCTACGTATTCAGATAATTCTGGAGTTCAGCCTACCTCCAAACCATCGGGAAATGCGACTTCTCTTGTAAGACGGGAAGAAGCTGGTAGCAAAGTAGCTGATGAGTTGTTTGTGCCGGGAAGTCTCTATTATCTAAAGAGGAATGCAGATGCTAGAATCAATGGAAACAGTGGCGAATATTTCACTCTTTTGAAGAGACACCCAGGTGAACATTTTCAGAGGATACTTCTATCAAGCAACATTATTTCTGACCACAAATGTGAAGGTTATTATTATGCCTTAAGAGACGTTCTAAAAGGTTTGCCTGGTTCTCCTGATGAAGCTATTTTCAGATGAATACCTATTTAAACCTGTAACATTGTGTAAACTACAGTTTTTTTGGTACTTTAATAATCCTCAAAAATGTCCCCTCTTCTTATATGTCCCAAGTTCCTTGATTTGGTAAAGGGAATTTTGGTACTTCTCAATAAATTTGATCCCAAATTTGTTCATTAGTCTTTTTGTTCTCTTTGTAACCTCTAATGCTTGCTCACATCTTTGAGTCCTGTCCTAGGAACATTCAGTTGTTTTCTAGGGGTCATAATAATTGCTATAGTAGTGTCTCTGAGTTTGTATCTTAATTGACTCATAGTTTTCGTTGGGTTGTGTGTTTTCATCGTATTCTATTGTATTATTGCTTTTAATACAACGGATTACGAATCATAAAAACCTCATATATTTAACTAATTTGGTATGGTGGGATTATTATATTATTTTCTTTACCATTCTGCCCTTTACTATTGGCCCATAAGAGGGATATATATTTGGAGTAGCCCCTCCTCTTTAGCCACTCCAGGTCTGGTCTTCTTTCCCTTTTTTAAATGTTATCTTCGCTCTCGCTCTCACGCGAATTTACAAACTCTTTTTCATTTTCTTTTAATTTCTTAAATATTTAATAGATTTGTGGGGTATGCTCTAGAATTTGTACGTTATTGAAATTCCGGTGATAATTATTTTATTTGTTGATAAATTCAATATATATATTTAAAAAAAAAATCAAAAGCACTCAAGTTCCCTTCCCGGAATCTTGAATGTGGGATGTATATAACTCAGTTAATGATAATCTATTAACTTATCTATTCTATATTATAGTATTACTAAAAGCACGAATGCTTTAAGCAAAATGTTATACATTTTTTTACTATTTAAAAATAAATTCATTCTGAAAAAATAGTCAATTAATTAATTTTTTTAGTATTTTATAACAGTTATTTAGTTAATTTTCTAATATTTAGGGTTAGTTATTAATTACTTTTTAAATTATTTAAGTTCTTAATTTATAACTCCTAAATTTAAGGCAAAATTTTCAATATTCCAAATTTTATGTTACGTAGAGTTGGATTAATATTTAATATTAAATAAAATTCTCTATACGTGAATCATTGCCGTCAAACATATGGCATTAAATTTACAACAATAATAACAACAACCTTGTGTAATTTCACAAGTGGGGTATGAGGAGGGTAGGATGTACGCAGCCTTATCCATACCCTTGAAGGGCAGGGAGACTGTTTCTGATAGACCCTCGGCTAAAGAAGATAGAGGAAGTCATGATAGCAAGTAATAGCAAGACAATATATTTAGAAAACTAATAAAGAATATAAAAGAGATACCGATAACAAGTAATAGCAAGACAATATATTTAAAAAACTAAATCCAAGATAGCAATAGAGAATATGGAAGAAGTATTGCCAGCAAACTAAGGAAGTACTAATGGCAAGTAGTAACAGAACAAGAAATGCGATAATAGCAAACTAAAGATACAGGGGGTACCATACTATCAACAATACCATCGAACTAGTGAAGACAAAGGGAAACACACGACTACCTACTAACCTTCTACCCTAATCTTCAACCTCCACACCCTTTTATCCAGGGTCATGTCCTCGGTTAGCTCAAGATGCACCATGTCCCGCATGATCACCTCTCTCCAAGGCTTCTTTGGCCTACCTCTACCCCTCATCCTACCCCCAAGGCCAACCTCTCACACCTCCTGACTGGGGCATCTGTGCTTCTCCTTTTAACATGCCCGAACCATCTCAGCCTCGCCTCACGCATCTTTTCCTCCACATGGGCCACTCCTACCTTGTCCCGAATAACTTTATTCCTGATTCTATCCAACCTAGTATGTCCACACATTCATCTCAACATCCTCATTTCAGCTACTTTCATCTGATGGACATGAGAATTCTTGACTGGCCAACACTCTACCCCATACAACATAGCCGGTCTAACCACTACCTTGTAGAACTTACCCTTAAGTCTCAACGGCACATTCTTATCGCACAAGATACCGGAAACGAGCTTCCACTTCATCCATTCTACTCCGATACGATGTGTGATATCCTCATCAATCTCCCCATCTTTCTGAATTATAGACCCCGGATACTCGAAACTTTCTCTCCTGGGAATGACTTGCGTATCAAGCCTAACATCCCCGTCCGCTTCCTGGGTAACACCGCTAAACTTACACTCCAAGTATTCTGTCTTGGTCCTGCTCAACTTGAAACCCTTTGACTCAAGAGTATGTCTCCAGACCTCCAGCCTCTCGTTAACACCACCTCGCGTCTCATCAATCAGAACTATGTCATCCACAAATAACAGGAACCAAGGCACCCCCCCTTGAATGTGTCGCGTCAATGCATCCATTACCAAGGAAAACAAAAATGGGCTAAGTGATGATACCTGATGCAACCCCATCTCAATCGGGAAGTATTCAGAATCTTCTCCTGCTGTCCTAACCCGTGACTTAGCTCCATTATACATGTCTTGGATCACTCTAATATACGCTACAAGCACTCCTTTAGCCTCCAAACATCTCCATAGAACCTCTCTCAGGACTTTGTCATAGGCTTTCTCTAGGTCAATGAACACCATATGCAAGTCCTTCTTCATCGCCCTATACTGCTCTACCAATATCCTCACAATGTGAATGGCTTCAGTAGTCGACCGTCCCGGCATGAAACCAAACTGGTTCTCGGAAATGGACATACTCCTCCTCGTCCTCCCTTCGATCACTCTCTCCCATACTTTCATCGTATGGCTTAACAACTTGATACCCCTATAGTTGTTGCAGTTTTGGATACCCCCTTGCTCTTGTACAACAGAATCATCATACTCCGCCTCCACTCTTAAGGCATCTTCTTTTTCCTAAAAATAATGTTAAATAACCTAGAAAGCTATTCCAAGCCCGTCGTACCCGCGCTCTTCCAAAATTCTACCAGGATCTCGTCTGGTCCGGTCGCTCTACCCCTACTCATCCTGTGCATATCCCGTACAACCTCCCCCACTCGTATGCATCTACAATACCCAAAATATCGATGACGCCCCAAGTACTCCAACTCACCTAGCACAATGCTCTTATCACCCTCTTTATTCAAGAGTTTGTGGAGGTAAGACTGTCATCTCTGCCTAATCTGTGCCCCCTCCAACAAAAATCTACCCTCATCGTCTTTTATGCACCTAACTTGGTTCAGATCCCGGGCCTTCCGCTCTCTCACCTTCTCCAGCATGTACAACATCTTGTCCTTGACTTTATCCCTAATTTTTTCGTATAAACGACCAAACGCCGCGGTCTTAGCCGCGATAACCGCTAACTTCTCCTCCTTCATAGCCTTCTTATACTCCTCCTTGTTAGCCCTCTTCTGCCCCTTGTTTATGCTCTCTACTAGTTTCAAATACACCGCTTTCTTAACTTCCGCTTTCATTTGAACCTCTTCGTCCCACCACCAGTCCCCTTTATGGCCACCAGACACGCCCTTCGAGACCTCTAACACCTCTCTCGCCCCTCTTTGATACAATTCGATGTCGTAGACCACATACAATTCGCGTACCCGCTACTCCTCAACCCCTCCATAGCCAGCAACTTCTCCCCCAACTCCTGGGCTTTGTCCTTAGTCAATGCACCCCACCTGACCCTAGATAGCCCAAACATAGCCCTCTTCCTCCTCATCCACCTGATCTCTAAGTCTATAACCAAAATCATATGATGGGTCGTAAAATGACCTTGCAATCCGTGCATAGACCTCTATCACATTTTATGAGAAGTAGATAATCAATTTGGGTCTTGCCACCGTACTCTGAAAGGTAGGTGCTCCGCCTTCTTTGGCTAACACGAGTTAACAATCACCAGCTCAAAAGCTTTAGCGTACTCCAGCAGCGAAGTACTTCCTCCATTTCCATCTCCAAAACCGAAGCCACTATGCACACCGTCATATCCCCCATGCAACCTCCCAATGTGGCCGTTAAAATCGCCCCATATAATAAGCTTCTCAGTGGATGGTATACCCCGCATCAACCCATCCAAATCCTCCCAGAAGAGTCTTTTAACCTACTCGACCAAACCTATATGAGGCGCGTAAACACTAACTACGTTTAGAGTATACTCTCACGACTATCTTAATGGCCATCAACCTATCATTCACCCTCTTAACCTCAACCACTAGCTCCCTTAGATCTCTATCAACTAAGATGCCTACCCCGTTATTCCCTCTCATCCTCCCTGAATACCACAACTTAAACCCATTAGCCTCCCGAGCCTTGTTCCCTACCTATCTAGTCTCTTGGATGCAGGCTATGTTAATCTTCCTCTTATGGAGAATCTTTGCTAACTCTATAAACTTTCTCGTTAAAGTCCTTACGTTCCATGACCCCCACTCTCAACCTAGAAGGTCCCTTACCCTCTACCCCTCGGTCCCCCCGAGGACATGACCTCACTCTATCACAGCTCGGCACGACCGCTAGACCAACAAAAGGCTAAAAAAGAAATAGACTAAATTAAGTATTAGCTATAACACTAAAGCAATTGACCGAGACAGATATAAGCAGGCAAGTCTAACTAAATACAGTTTAAAACAAGATACTGCAGATATCAAAGAGATAGGCAAGCAAAAATAAAGATACGGATACCACAAATACTCAAGACAGAACGAAAGAACTTGGAGCGAGTTTTCCTGAAGTATGACGAATCTGCTCAAGACTACTGACAGTCCTATTGCGTCCCGCTGGAAAGCTGTTCAGAAGTCGCCGGAATTAATGAAACTCGCCGGGAATCTGTACATACGCTAGGAAATAGCATGTCCTCACCGGGAAAATGCTGCACCTGTCCAACGAAACATAGCGCACCCACACATACAGAAGGGAGAGAGAGAAAGGGAAAAAGAGAAAGAGGACGAAGAAGACAGGTTATAACTAATTATGTATTAGCTATAACACTAAAGTAATTGACCGAGACAGATATAAGCAGGCAAGTCTAACTAAATACAGTTTTAAAAAAAATACTGCAGATATCAAAGAGATAATAAAGCAAAATAAAATAAAATACCGATACCACAAATACCCAAGACAGAACGAAATAACTTGGAGTGAGTTTTCCTGAGGTATGCCAAATCTGCTCAAGACTACAGATAATCCTACTGCGTCCCGTTGGAAAACTGTTCAGAAGTCGCCGAAATTAGTGAAACTCACCGGGAATCTGTACACATGCTGGGAAATAGCATGTTCTCGGCGGGAAAATGCTGCAGCTGTCCAAAGAAATAGAACGCACCCCCACACACAGAAGGGAGAGAGAGAAAGGCAAAAAGATAAAGAGGATGGAGAAAA